GCATGAAAGATTTGTTACCAAAATGATTTAGCATCTCCTGCAGCACGACGGGTTCAATACTGCTCAACTGTGAGCTTTGGGCAGAGACTGTACTGGATGTCGTATTGCTTGTGGAGAATCTCCATGTTTCATCTTTCATATCCAATATCTCATCATCACCGTCGTCGTATTCTATATTGTGCCTACCGTCCTCGTCGATCGATCGAACAGTGCCAGAGTAATAGGAATTGTCAAGAGGCCAGAATACATCGACACAGTCTCCTGCTTTCGGCAGTTCCGGTTCACAGTCGCTTGTCGAATACTCGTGATGGAAGGCTGTCTCGTCATAATCGCAATCATCAGTATTACGATTTACAGCTGTGCAGTCAATGACGTTTTCCAAATCCATATCGAGTTGATCTATGCTTTGTTGAATTTGAATGGCAAAAGGGTCGTCTTGAATCGCGAAACGTGTGTCTTCGATTGCAGATGATATCGTCTTCCCATGTGCCCCTGGTACTGTAATTGTGCAGGAGGAGGGATCATATGATAGCACAACACGCGGCGATGACCATTTGCCTCGTTTTTCGTGGTGTCGTTTGACATAAATCTCAACCAGATCTCCTACTCCTACTTGAGGTTCAGTTAGGGAATTTGGTCGGAGTATCAGGTTGAGTTTGCGTTTTGCTTTGATCGTGTCATGAGCATCGATTAAGTCTTTTGAGATGACATTAATGCCATTCTTATCATCGCATGGCTTTGTAAAGCCTTTTGCTAGTTCAAAGGCGGACAGTACATCAGATCCGTAAAGATCATTTGAAATGCGAATGGCACGATAGGCCATTAGTTCTGGTGGCATCGGTGGTTCAGATGACGCCTTCAGTCGGAGGAATATACTTCTGATAATGCTGTGTTTTGACTCTAACAGATTCTTGCTGTGACGTCTCGGTGGCACGGGTCGGAACTTGAGGTGGTTCAGCCTGAGATATTCAGCAAACTCGGTCTTATTGAATGCATTGTCACCATGTACATAGCTGGGATACCAGAACTGATTAGTCCAGGCCGCTTCGAATCCTTCAATAGATGACTTGATTGTGGCATCATTTACCACATACCAAGCAGAGTATCGGGACCAGGCGTCCATTATGTGAAAAATTCGTAGGCCTTCCAAATGAAAGTGGTCAATGCATACAATATCATTGAAATTGTGGTGAAGGGATGTCAGCGATACCTTTCGAGAGGGTTTTGGAAATGAAGTGGCTCTGCATCCATGGCAAGTTTCAACTGTACGGGATAGATATTTTCAACTTCTTTGCTCCACATTTCATTTCGTTCTAGTAGCGTTCGAATGTCTGAGAAGGAGGCATGTCCACAAATGTGTTTGTGAACTTTATCGATGATTCTTTTGACTTCATTCCATGGACGAGTATCTGTACTGTGAGCTGATGAAGCACAGAGAGCGTTCAGGGAAGCAGAATGGTACTTCTCCGGTACAGCACGTGAGAAGGTCGCATAGGGGATGTAGCTATTCAAATCATGATCAACCATGGAGATGGATTCGGTAGAGGGGCCTTTTCCGGCAAAGACGATTGCATTGGTGCCAACATGCATGATATTGGACTTGCTGGTGACATTTCGTCCTATCACCCACTGTGAGGACCCTTCTAAGACCAGGTGACGAATCCGGATCAGACTGCCATCATCAGACAATGCCGTGAGCAGAACGGATCCGAGAATTCTGCGTTTTGCGCTAGCACGATTTCCGCAACCATACTGCCGAAAGCAGCGACCGTTCAAGGATGACGGTATATTGTCAAGCGTGCTGGTGAAACTTGAGAGGATCTGTTGCTTGAGAATGTGTAGCTCCGTCAACCCGATCGCAGTGTATGGCGCTCCGTCGTCGACAAGTGGCCCAACGTCTTTTTTTGGACGGGGTTGGTTACATCTATGGTGGGGATATTTGCCATGTGGAAAGTGACTGTGTTGTTTTCTGATCTGGGGTTGAATCCAGCACCATCTCGTGATAAAGTAGATGAAGCAGGGGTATCTGTGCTTCTGGTCTGCGGCTTGAGTCTACCGTCAGGATTATGATCTCCAGACCAGTGTCCGTACTTCTTGCAGGTGCGGCACTGTGAGCGTGATTTCAAATCAAGGAGCTGTAGAGGTGAGAGCTTACGACGGCCTCGCGGATTGCTACTTCTCCCACGAAAGTGTTCAGTTGTAGCTGCGTTGGATATAATGAGGTTCGATTGGCTGACGGTTGTATCATGTGGTCCATCGCATTGTCTCAGAACAGACGAGACAGACTGATATGATACTGCTTTCATGAATTCGTCATTTGTGGATTGGCTGTTTAGATCCGTGCCAATAGGTGAGGCAGCAGCTAAGACGGATACTCGTTGCGTGTTATCAATTGAAGCATTCGCAATCAACATGAGAGCCGTCAGCGATTCAGGTAGCTTTGCGCTTTTTCCAATAGCATTAAACTTTGCCACTTGTGCCGCAAACCTTGATTCAAAGTTTCGTATGGACTCGCTTGAGCTGCGTTTAGTGGACAGTAGATCATTGAAGTTTCGAAACACTTCGTAGTATAACGACGGACGCGCGCGCGGGGATATTATTAACAGTGCGGCCGTGCACGGTGGACACGTGGGCGGGTGTGCCCACGTGTAGGGAGCGCGCGCGTGCCGAGCGGTCGTAATCTGGCGTACGTGTACAGTAGTGCACGTGTCGGCCAAGCGGTAGTCTGCTAGTATTACGTGTACGCTAGCACACGTGGCATCCGTGCGGTAGTCTGTAAGCAGCGCGTGTGTACAGTAGTACACACGCGTAGCTGCAGCGTCCGCGCGGTAATTAGGAATTGAGGCGCTAGTTTTTTAATGGCGTACAGTACCTGGTACGCACTAGGCGGCAGATACTGTATACTGGGACAGGTGTCCGAGGCGTCCCTCTGAGGGGTTAAGACCTGACACCCGTCCCCACCAGTAAACTGGGGCAAGCTCGCCCCCGTCCCTTTTGCGCCTACGTACGTCCGCTTTCGGTTGTCTGTCGCGCGCGCTGGTTTCTAACCCGTTACCGGTCGCTCCCATTCACGCACCACAGGGCGACTGCGCGTATCCGGCCAGTGAGCCACTCCCTTTTGGCGAGCTCGTCCGATCGGTTCAATTAGCGCGTCGCGTCCGCGCCGTGTGCTCCCTCGCTAAAACCTCCGCCTCTCACCCAACCCAGGGCGGAGAGGAGCTATCCCACACACTTCACTGACAACTGATAGAGCATCTCGTTGATACACGGCTTTCACGATAGCTTCTGCCCATAGGTCAGATTGTATCACGTTGTCATCAATTCCAGTGCAAAGATCAGCTGCACGTCCATAGAGCTGTGACTTGAGGCAGATGCCTCGTAGTTCTTTCGGGATTTTGTGCGAATTATGGTCATTGAGCTTGTCATGAAACGCAGCCCAAAGTTTGACGGCTTCAGAGTAGTGTTGTTGGTCACCTCGGCCGTCCGTCCATGGGACCGCCTTTATATCCCAGGAGAACTTTGGCAGGGTCGGAACGTTGGAACCGTGGGCTGGGCCCATAACTAAGAGTAAGCTGATTTGGGATCAGGGGGGCAATCAGGTTACTGTATCTTTGTGGGATCAGAGTAGGGAGCGGGCGAAGGAAGTGAACAGTAGCGAAACAATGATTTACGTGGTATCGTGCGTATCTTCTTTGTCGTCTTTTTCTGTTGCAGCTGTGTGGACGTGTGCTTTATACTGATGATGTGTTGGCAAGTTGTGTTAGAATATGTCGTGCACAAGAGGACGTGATATGTTGTGATGAGCACTGAGGTTGCATTTGATAATCGTTGCATTTGAATAAAAGTGTTTGAATGAAGGGACGTGAGAGGCATGTCCGTTGGAGTGAGGGGTCGTGAGATATCCGAATTCAAAATTATCATAGTGGGATGTCACAAAGTGTACCGGCGACAGCGGCATTAAGGGGATATAATAGAAGTATTTTGAGGAGGGCTGGGACCGCCTGGCATTGTTAAATTTATCATAACTCTCCTATTGCGGATAAAATTTCCCCAGGTCACCCACCGACTGTGGTGCCCTTCTACTCGCAGAGCAATTCACAAAAAGGGGGTGGGTGCCGTATTTAAATTTCTGGCAGTGTACATATAGTGCGCTTCAAAATTATAGCCCTCAGAGCATCTCTACCGGTTGATTTTTTTTGTGTCTGTAACGGCTACTTTTAGTCTGCACCTCAGATTAATGCCATCTTCGAATAGTGCCGGTTTCGTGGCTCCCACATGGTGCCCTACTAATGGGGATGGGCCCCTGTCTTGTAGGACTTGAGCAGAAAAATGTTTCTGTACCAACTGCTACGGTATTGTACCGTACTGTAGCAGTTGGTACAGAAACATTGTACGTGTATCGGAGCCGACGGCTTGTCGTGCTGCGCATAATCATAGAAGTGTACTGTACAGTTCTGTACCCATGGGTGGGTACTGTGCTTTACGCAGAAGAATATCTTACGTTCCGAATCTGCGATTCGCGGCTCTGTGTGAAGATTTTTCACATTACAGTAACTTACATGCAAAGATGCGGCCGAATGCGTTGACGGTCATAATTTCACCTTGACATGGGGCCAGAATTGCATACGGCTTCACGGTACAATAGCTGGCGTCTTGCGAGCATGTAAGTAAAATGTAGCACTGTGGAAGCCTACGAGTAAAGTATGAGTTCGAACTGCGCCTCTGGGTCCAATAGAGGCCAGTTTATGGGCGGTCCGATGACAACTCGTCACGGGGAGTGGTTCCAGCTGGTTTGAACACCCTTTCGGTCCAACCAACAAGACAACGGCTAAGGCCAGGCAGAAAGTAGCGAAAAATTGAAAATGTATGTAGATTTGGCACAGCAGTATCAGACAGCGTGGAGTCAGTAACCCTAAATCACTAGAGTCCGTTGCTGGAGGGACACTCACCCCCTAAATACCTGTAAATCTCTATAAATCTGTCGGCCTTTCATCAACGAAATGTCCCTGCCGAAAGCCCCTCCATCCGCAACACACGCCGACCAGCCCCCACGTACACAGAACGGCAGGCACGTGCACACCATCCACCATCACCCTCCTCCCGTCCTCCTGAAAGCGCGCCGGTCGCAACCCCTCTGCTTCCCCCCCTTCTCAGAACTTAGTCTGCCGAACTGCACCAATCTGCCCGCTTCCCTTGCCGCTCTCGTACCTCGCCACTATTTCAAGCACGTCCACCTCTAGTTACGCCTCCCCACCCAAGTGCTTTGGATTGTTATCACCTTGTCGGTTTACGCTAATGCTTTGTACTCATGTCGCGTAACCCTCATCAGGCCCCGATGCCGCGTATGTTCGGGTACGATATAACACTTTGTCTTCTTTCTAAACCGCTCTGGCCTTTGAAGCGTCCGCGTATTTATCCTCTAGTACGCTTGTATTGCCGTCTCTAATACTTGCATACAACTTTTTTCTTTGCGATCCTTCACATCTGCGTATCGTTTACCTCGTCTTTTTATTGCTTCTGGACACCCCATATCGACACGGCTTACCCTTCTTCTTTGACATGCACTTTCTTTCTTGTTCTTTTCACATCCAAACCCGTCCAATCCACTCTAACGCATCCTGCACATACGTCCTCATATCTTTCTAACGATGTATCTGGCTCTAAAACGCTCTACGCCACCCTAAAACTAACGTGGGCACGGAACTGCTTGTCGACTCGCATACATATTCACACCTATACATCTGTTCTGTCCCTCGCGATCTCCAAACTGCCGACAATTGACATATAATCCCGTAATACTCGACTTCGACCATCTACCGCGTTTTCTATCGGTTGTCACAATTGCAATTCTTTGCGCACTGCCTTCTCTCCCGTGTCTTTGCTAATGTCGACACACAAACACAAATGGCTATGCGCGTCCTCATCGAACAGTGCGTTCAATGGAGCTCCGCCGAATGCGTACCCGCCTATCAATCCCCCTAGAGCACCTATCCAAGGACCTCCACCTCATCACCCGAATCCTAACGTGTCGGTGATGCACCCTCCTTATCCGCCTCAGCATTTCCAAAATGCTCCCCAAGGAGTGCCGCAAGGAGTCCCGCCGCAGCCCACTGCACCTCCACAGCCGTATGGTCTCGGTGTCGTCAGGAATAGAGACTGGGAAAAGGTGGACGGCCGCCACCAGATTTACGAGCGAGATAGCAAAAGAATGCGCCCTTTTCCCAATAATCCTAACGACAATGGCTACCCAAACCCCCCGCAACCTCCGTACAACAGACCAGCCCCCCAGGGTGTAACAACTCCCAATGCTAATATGGGCCCGTCTGTTGCATATAATTCTCAGCGACACCCGGGAATGCTTCCCCACAATCCCCCTATACATCCGCCGAATCAACAAGCACTCGCGTTTCAACAACGTCAAGGTCCCTTCCCTCAGGTCGCTGTCATAAATCCCCAGCATAGGCCCCCGCTGCCACAGCAGCACCCGCAGATCCAAGCTCCATATACTTCTCAATACCCGGGGCCGCACGCTCAGCCTCGGACTGCGCAGACCCCTTATGATAGGCTGCCCCCCCCACCACGAAAGAACTTTGGTGCTTCGGCCCCAGAGAGTAGCGCGACTGGTGCTAGTTCTGCTGGTAATCATGGAGTTCCAGGTGGCCATTCCACAAATGGACCTGAGAAGGAGCGGTCCGATCAGCCAATGTCTTTCAAGGACTTTCTACTCAAACAACCTGATAATATTTCGTCCCATGCCGCCCAGGAGGCATATGATGAGTACGTCAAAAGCTTCGCTGTTCGCAAGCCCAATGAGTTCTTCGAACAGCATAAGGATGAAGAGTGGTTTAGGGAAAGATACGATCCTGAATATGTGTCAAAGAGAATAGTACGGATTCGCGAAGAGGTCCAAGAGCGAGCGAAAGTCTATAGAGATCTCTGGGAAAGAGGTGGGAGTCAGGTATGTGCTCCAGAACTTTCCGCTTTTCCGGAAGGTTCAAACTATAGGAAGAAAAGCGATGGTCATGCTCTTGAATCCCAGACACCAAAAGAAGACAATCAGCCCGTGAAAGAGGAAGGAAACGCCGTAAGTAAGTTTGTCGAAGACGAACATGACATCAAGAAAGAAAGGAAAGTGCAAGTGGAAGGCACTGAACCTGACCAGAAACAAAAAACTCAAGACGTGAAGGAGGCAGCGTCAGAACAGTCGACAGTCAAAAAGGACGAAAACAAAGTTGTCAAAGAGACCGTTTCAGATGAAGAAGAAAGAGGAGGCCTTGTCACCGAAAAGAAAGAAGATCCGATTCTTGACTCTGCGCCAACAGGCGAAGAAGGGGGAGGGACAGGGCTCCTACCAGGTCAGTCAAGCCAAGAACATGTGCTCTTCTTGCCATTGAGGCGTGAGCATCAAAAGGACACTATATTCATGCGCTCAATTCCCACTAATCTCTGTCGCGACGATCTCACGGCAGTTCTTAAGCATGGTGAGGATGGAACATTAAGCCTTAACCTTCGTCGTTTAAAGCTCGGTGATATCAACCCGCTGCGCTCACTGGAACGGTTCGGCTGGGCCGTGTATGACTCAGAGGAGACTGCCGCGAAAGCCATTACCGCCGTAAAGGGTGTGAAAGTAGTCTCTAGAAAGGACAAGAATCGGACTGCAGACGGAGAAGCGAGATCCGAAGGGGACACGCAGACGACTACGGCAGAAGATTCTAACAGTACTTACGTCATCGACTGCATGCTTAACTTAGAGCGGAAGAAGAAGTTCTCTCAGGGCCGTGTTCTTCCGGCCGCGTTCGGTACTCCAGAACGGATGAAGTATGACGTCGCACAGTCCGCGAAAATGATGAGATGCTTGGACGCTGACCGGAAAATGGACCCCAGTTTAAATCCGCTCACTGATGAAGTATTGACGAACCTCGAGGATGATGGCCAGCGACTGGATCACATTATCACTTACTTGCGCGAAGTGCATTATTTTTGCTACTACTCTGGGAACGAGTTTCTGGAAGATCCGACGAGCATGCCACCACAAGAATTGCGACCGAGGGCTGACCGGGGACGCCACATGTCGGAAGCCGATAACCGTTTACTCAGAAGAGTTGACGAACGGGCGCGATGGGTTCTTGAACGTGATTATGATCGGCCAAGGAGCAACAGTGACAATGGGGAAGCCGCAAAAGAAGCCGCTCTTCAAAAATGGTTTAAAGCAAATACAAAACATGAGGCCGAAGGGCGATATAGATGCAACCTCCCACCGCACAAACTGTTCAAGGGACCTGAATTTGTCGAGAAGCACATACGAACTAGGCATGCTGACAAAGTTAAGCAAGTGGCGGATAAAGCGCTTATGGAGACCTACAGAGCTAACTTTGAGAATGACGCCAGCAAGGATGAAGTTGTCAAAATATATCATGAAGGTAAGACCGGCGGTCAGGAGCAGGAGAAGCACATGACGGGAAAGCAGGGAACCACCATTAACCGGAACGCGGCGATGGGAAATGGGTATGCACAGACAGGAACCGCGATGAACGTGGGTATGTACAATCCATACATGGTAGGGATGCAGTTTCCGCTAATGATGCCAACAGCAGCCGGCTTCACCGGTGGGTACGCTGGTACTCCAGGGTACGCAAATGTAATGGCTTTTGCTGGTCGTGGCATGCAAACTGCCAGTATGGGGCGACCGGGAATGCCCCCCGGTGGAATCATGCCACCCGGGCGAAGTCCTCATGATAGTAATATGGGCGTGCATCACCGACCTCCTCCACGGCGAGAAGGGAACCGCGGTGGTCTGCGAGGACGAAGAGGTGGACCGAGGCGAGGGGTTGGAGACTATTACCGCGGTGGGCACGCGGATGGTCGTCCGGCTGATCCGCGAGCTAGAGGCTCTCGTCGAGCCTACAATGATCTTGATGCCCCGTCAAATGGCCCCTCCTTTGATCTCGTCAGATACGAGGACGTATGAAATATTTTGATTTCGACTTCAGATGGAGCATAGATCCCCTGTACTACGGTCCAATGGTTCAAGCGAGACGCGTGCACATAGGCTCTTGGATGGCATCATCTCTTGTTCATTTCTTGTTGCAACGAGGCTGTTCTGGTAGAACAGAGATGTCTGCAGTGCATATTATTGGCGACTGGCGAAAGGGCTGAGCTGGACCAGAGTAACGGTTACCTAGCTTTTCCAGTCTGTCGCAAAGGAGATGGAGCGAAGCTGCGAGAGAAGTGTGAAGGTGAGCAAGGCTTTTCAGTGCTGAGAAGAAGGTTTAAGGATTGCCTCTAGAAGGGCACATGCCATGAGTTTTTTATATACCTTGAATAAAGATATTAGGATATGGGCTAGTTGAGTCGGGTCCGAATCCTGCAGCTCACACGATAATGTGGAAGTGTCACTCGCTTACGGATTGGTTTCTTTAAATATACTACGCTTAATCGCTGCGGGTTCATGCCCCTGAATTTTACGAGACTGACGGAAAGAGGTGAAGTTAGCAGCCCTTCCGGTATTGTCCGTCTGAGTTCTCAAAGTGAGGCTGGGGCTTCAAAAATGATGTCAGCGCGACTGTTGCCCAACGATATCCAAAAACTCCCTTCTTAGATCTGCCTCCTGTTTGTATCGCCCGCGAACTGCTGTAGTAGTGGTTTGAGCTCCGACCTTCTGCACACCACGCATAGCCATGCACATGTGTGAACAAGTGACATAGACCATGACACCAGCGGCCTTTGTTGCTCTTTCTACTGCGTCTGCTATTTGGCTAGTTAGACGCTCTTGCACTTGCAGACGTCTCGCGAAGAGGTCAGCGATCCGCGCGATTTTGCTCAAACCAATGACAGAGCCACTGGGGATGTAGGCTACATGGAGCTTGCCGTGGAACGGCAGAAGGTGGTGTTCGCAGAGAGAAAAAACATCTATATCCCGGATCAGAACGACTTCAGAGTGATTTTCATCGAATTCTGCATCGCCAAGGACTTCTTCAACGGACTTCTTGTACCCTTGTGTCAACGAGAGGAGTGCCTTCGAATGACAATGCGACAGAATCCAAACGATAGCACGGGATGCATACACCAGAGGCCGTTAGAACGAGAAAAGCCAAGATAACGGCGCAGAAAAATATGTGACGAGACGTTGGATGAATACCGGGTGACGTGCGGTGTTGTGCGAGAGCGAAGGCTTTTGCAAAAAGTAACAAGGGATGAAAATACCTTTGCATATCGTGCTGGAGTTTTTCTGAGACCCTGACGAAGGGGCTCATCGTCAAGACAGTCGAGAATGACACTGACTGCAGCGGCAATTGTTGCTTCGCGTTGTTCATTGGACAAGCGGGCCTTCTTGGTCGGCTGCGTTGGAATGTCATCTGGGTGATGTTGCCGCTTGCCAGAGGAAGAAGGCGGGTCAGATGAGTCAGGGACATCGCTCACGAGTGCAGAAGAATGCGAGCTCCCAGTACCAGAGACGCTGCCATCTTCGGCGAACGGTGCGCTCCCAGGCGGTGGGGAGGCATGGACAGAAGCCATTTGATCGGATATGGGGGGATGGGCCGTCATTGCGGTTTTCATGGGCCGGAGTTTGAATGTGTCAATGGGTTTGGTGGTAAGCAGACAGTGGCCTACGAAGATGCTGCGCACAGGTGATTGCACGGAGACGGAATGTTAAGGGCAGAAACCTCTTATGGAATGACAGGGGGAGATTGTGGGGAGCACGGAAAGAAATGTGAGGTATGGAGAACAATTGCAGAGCAAAAGAAGGAATCACGGGTGTTTGCGCGCCGGGGATTTACGGTATATCACATGTTTCCCGAGTCTCCCTTATTTCATTACAGTTCTTGTATTACAGAGAGGGTTGCAGCCAGCTGTCATCCAGCAATTGGCATATATTGGGTTTTCCCAGGACAAACCGTTGTCAGTGGTGCACGTTAGCCACCCACTGTAGCGCCTCCCTTGGCCAAGGCCTCTCACAGCCATGGCTTCCTCATTTGTTCTGGTGAGTATATCTTGCTAGCCAATCGATTTGCATGAAAATAGCAGAAACGCCTTCGGAAGGTTGGCACATAGCATGATGCAAAGCCTCCTATGCAAGCACACGACAAATTCGGTCTTGGCCAACGTCTATTCGTTCCTGCGGCTCTCTCAGACCAATCTTCCCCATTGAGTTTCAGCATGAAACATGTAGAAAATGTCGAGCAAAACCTGATATACAGTAGTAGAACTATCAACATAAGATAAATACGAGCTCAGTCGTGCATCGCAGGGCCCTTCATCCGTGATACGAAACACGCTCAACTCATTTCTTTGAGCAGAAAACAACTGGATCAACCCACCCCCCCCCCCCCCCCCCCCCCCCCGCGCGCGTTTTAGTCAGTCTGCAAATGGTCTCATGTATCTTCACAATTAGAACACGCAGGCTAGTCTTCAGCGATGCAGCGGAACGAATTCTGCCGTTGCAAGCATGACTAAGTCACCATCATTATATTTAGTGGCTACTCATTCAAACTCGTATTCACGTAGGAACATTCATATTAAATGAGGTCAGTGCAGGGAAGTCTCTTGGTTTCCCTTCGCAATGGAGCCGTCATACCGTAAAACACAAATGATCTTTTTATTAGTAGCTTCGGCACCTTTTTCCGTAATTGCGGACTGGCTTCAGAACGCGAGAGCAGAGATAAAATAGTGAAGAATGTGAATAAACCGAAGGATTCGGCCACATCCCAAAATTTATGTTTTTTTTGATAGCTCTGAAAATTGCCCAGACGTCTTGATCTCAAGATCCACTCCAATAAGTGGCCACAATAATGCGCTATGGAAAGCCCACTCCCATGCCTAACAAGCTGGCGCGATTGCAACCAACTGAAGCTCAAGTCGACAAGATTTCCAGTTTTAGTAATTGCGCGAAAGCTCAAAGCGTACAAAGAACGAACCCCTTTCATGTCAGCCTTCGTCAGTCACATGTTGGCGCCATGCCTGGGTACATTTGTTGGCAGACAGCAGGAAACGTCTTTGAAAAGGGAGCACAGCACGAAGCGAAGGGGCCTTAGTCCCAAATGTTCAGCCGCCACATCTGTGCCGCATGGAATGCGTCGCTCGAATATGCAAGAGTGGCAAAGAGATGAGACCCTCTTCTTCGACCGCTCCGTTGCGCTGGTTGGAAGGGAGGCAGATGAAGCTGTCAGTATTGTTTATGCCTATCCAAACACATATGCAGTTGGAATTTGTTCGCTGGGATACCAAATCGTTTGGGCGATGCTTTCCGGTCTGAAACGCGCTCATGTTACGCGGCTGTTCACGGATGCCATGGAACCGCTTCCTTATCAAGCGGATTTAGTCGGATTTTCTTTGTCTTGGGAGTTGGACTATGTCGGCATTTTTGCCCAACTCGAATTTGTTGGCATTCCTCGACGGGCAGTTCAGCGCTCAGAGACAGATCCAATTGTGTTTGGAGGCGGTCCTGTCCTTACTGCGAATCCCGAACCCTTTGCAGAGTTTTTCGATATCATCTTGTTGGGCGATGGTGAAAATACTATTCCTGAGTTTGTAGAGGCATTTCGGGAATGTAAAGGACTTTCAAGAACGAAAAAACTTGAAATGCTCGCTCAAGTACCTGGAGTCTATGCACCATCCTTGTACGAGGTTCAATATGAATCGGCAACTGGACCGCTAAAGTCAATATGTGCGAAACAAAGCACTTCGGATGTACAGATCCCGGAATCATTACAAAAGGCAACATATAGAGGAAAGAGCTTAGCAACTTCCACAGTTGTAACTCCGCGTTGCGCCTGGGAGAATATATTTATGGTTGAAGCAGTCAGAAGTTGTCCAGAGATGTGTGCATTTTGTCTAGCGTCATATGTAACACTACCCTTTCGAGCAGCTCCGGTACAAGATTCACTAATTCCTGCAGTTGACCGCGCTCTGACAGCAACAAACAGGATCGGGATCCTAGGAGCCAGTGTTACTCAGCATCCGCAGTTCGATCAACTACTATCTCTTCTGCGTGAGTCGAAGTACGACGGAATGCGCTTATCACTGTCGTCAGTTAGGACGAATACTGTAACAGAGGCGCTCGCCCAAACTCTTGTCGCGAGGGGCTCTAAATCGATAACCGTCGCCGTCGAGTCGGGGTCCGAACGATTGCGCAAGGTAAGCTGCTTTGCTGGGAGTCAAGGCTATATCGCTTTCCTTCACACCCTCTGTGCCGTGATCCCATAGTCGACTACTCTCATGTCTAACTGATGATAATCCTTCTCATTGCGCAAACCTATCCTCAGATTATCAACAAGAAGCTTGAAACAGATGATATCGTCAAGGCTGCTGTTCGAGCAGAAGCTGGAGGACTTTCCAGTATGAAACTGTATGGAATGGCGGGTATTCCAGGAGAAACACCGGATGACCATGACGACACAATTGCGATGCTCCGCAATTTGAAGAAAGCGGCACCCAAGCTTCGCTTAACGTTTGGATGCTCTACCTTTGTCGCCAAAGCACACACTCCATTCCAATGGTTCGGATGTGACAAAAAGGCAGACAAAGCAATGAAACAAATGGGAAAGTCTCTGGGCAAACTTGGAATTGATTACCGTCCCGAATCCCATAAATGGTCAATCGTGCAATCAATCATTTCGCGAGGGGATCGTCGAGTGTCACGTGTTCTTGAACTCGTGAGTGGATACGGCGATTCTCTTGGTAGCTTCCGTCGAGCCTTCAAAGAACTCAAAGGCGAAATCCCTCCTCTTGAGCATTACGCCTACGAAGACTGGCCAATCGATGCGGTCCTCCCGTGGCAGCACATCAGCACTGCCATATCGAAACCTCGTATACTGAATGCACGCAGAGAAGCTGAGCTGCATTTTCGACCAGACTCAGAGCAGTTCTCTCGCACGCAGCTACTATAGTTGCGAACCGACTGTGGTCTTCGCTTGTTTCTCAGCCTCAACTCTTGTCCTTTCTTTGCGTTCAAGAGAGGCTTTCTTTTTTTGACATAATTTACACCAAGAAGACTTTCTTGCGCCGTTGGGCTTCCGCCTCATGTTGTTAGGCTCTAGGAGAAATTCATGACCTTCTTTACACCGCCATTTCATCTTGACGTATTCTGAAATGTACTCGGTGCTCAAACACACACCATCCTTGTCTCGAGCAAGCTGGTGCATGTCTTTCATAGTCAATTTCTTGCTGAGCCTTGCACATTCAGGGCACCATGAACCTCCATTCCTAATGTTTGTCAATCTGGCCTTCCAGAAGTGACCTTGGCCACACTTCCACACCAGCGGGGTACGCGCATCCTTGTATTCAGTAGAAACTAGAGTACCGCCGCGCAAAAACGCCACCGCCTGCACCTCAAACAAAGACAAGCGACGACCGCGGTGGGAGACAGAAGGGTCTGCCATTTGGTGGCAACACGTTGGGCAGAAGCGACACGCAAGGGAGCCACGTTTCGCGCAAACTATATGACCCTGAGCGCAGCGGTAACGCAGCTTACAAGGGGGGATCAATTGCGGTGATGAAGAGATGGACTCGCTTTCATAGCCAAAACGCAAGTTGGAAAGACTACGAGACAAGTCAGACTCATGAGACAGGGATTCCAGATGCGAACCTCCAGGGATTTCGGCGGGCTTGGTTGATGCTTCCAAGCGGGAACGGCGTGGGACGCAAATCGAGCGAGCGGTACAGGGACGACGAGTTGGGACGGATACCAGCGACGTAAAGGATGGACCTACAAATGCAGCCATGGCTTGGAATAGAGGAAGGTGAAGGGAAGGGAGGGCGGCAAAGTTGGGGCTTGAAAGAGAATTGTTCGATCCTTGCTGTAGACGGGCATGGCTATACTGTACAGGTCGGCAATGGAGATTGCGACGGGGATTGCGACAGAGCTGAGTGGAGTCGCCGTTGTCCCGCACTAATTGTTCTGAACCCTGCACTAACATTATTCTCCGCTCTGAATAGAAATAAGGACACCTCATGCCTACAAAATAAGTTAAAAGTAACCTCATACTGTATGAGGACAACTGTCCAATAAACACTGGACGATAAGCTATTTGCACCATAGAGGCCAGCTTTTTTTGACAAAAACAAACGGAATAAATCGTAAATTTACAAAAACTAATTTGGACACCATTTCATTAGTGTATTTGCCCTCCGCAACAACATCTTCGCAGAACATCGAAATGACAGAGTCGCGATCAGGAGAATACATCCAAATGCGACCCAGATGGTGAGACGTTTTGGCCTTGGAATCGTCGCACAGTGGCTCTGGAACATGAGATTGCCACATCTCTGGCTGCATGTCCACTATAAAAGTTTATTTGTTTTCCAATTTCAGCCTTCAAATTTCATTGGTGCGCTTCCAGGTCGACGTTGGAACAGATGAACATACCTGGTTCTCTGTAATTCGACTGGAACAGTGATGGATATCAAAGCGAAACTATATTCGGAAAAGGGGAACATTTTGAGTAGTGCAGAAGCCACTTTCCAAATTGTTCAAAAGTTGCAAAATCGATTGCCGCTCAATTCTTTAAACGTCTTCAAACTAGAAGTTGTCTCTGGGCATCGAAGGCCTCGTCGATCGGTACACAATTCTCTATGTTCGCGCTCTGCACCTCTCCCGCTCTCTCGCCGCCTCCCAACCCACCCCGTCTCCGTTGTCCTTAACCAATTCCGCCGTCTCCATCCCCGCCGCTTTCCCCCTTGCTGCAGAGACGATAACTCTCATCCTCGACCCCGCTGCCTTTCTGTGGGCACGATTGGTCACCCCCGCCACACCCCCGCCATTTATCACTGTTGGCCTTGAGGTCTGCCGATACTCGCCAGCATAAGGTCACCGCAGACTTCCAAATTCGTTGCCTTGCATTATTGACATCCACCATCGGTGACTTTGCTATGGTCGCACCTGTTCACTATCCCTACACCTCTGCCTTTTTCTACCTTGGACCTGAACTCCCGCTTTTCCTCGCGAAAAGACGAGCACAGCTGAAATCCATTTCCACCGCCTCCAACTCGTCCCGAAAACGATTATTGCTGCCTTGTAATCCTTTCGCCTTTGCAACTCACAAAAACGTCAAATTCCGACCTCCACCTCTACAGTGTTCGAGAAACTTTACTGCTATTTCACCAAAAAAATGAGTCAGTCAAGGGATCGCCGCATGTCTCTTGCTCGTAATGTTCCACAAGAAGCGTGGGAGTACCTCAATGAGCTGAACTCGTCTGATTTAGAATCTCAGTTTGGTGGAAGGGAGATCGATTGGCAGAGCGACCTCAATGCTGGAAGGTCGATATGCAAGTTTCTGGTTGAGTGGGCACAGCGAGGACCATACCATGATGTCTTTTCTACAGGGGGAGGAAGTAAAGAATTGACGCTGTCATCCGCTAGTATCATTAACCGTGGCGCTGCGGAGCTTTTGAATACAGAGAAAAGAGCGGAGGCCGCTTATCGTGCTTATAAGGACGTGTTTCCGACATCCATATGGCACTGCTGCAGTCGTTTTTGTTTTGCCTCCATCGCAATCGACCCTGTAAAGATTCGGCTATTCGAAGAGATTCGTCTAATTCAGGAAATTGCGGAACGATTACATTCGTCTATCGCACCTATTACCGATCTTGTTGACACGAGACGATGCGGTATTGGTGGGTCGTACATTGGCTTTTACGCACCTTCCAGACAAGAGAGAGAAGGTGGGTTTAGTGCGGACGTTGCCTCGACAGACCGAAAAAAAGGTTTGCGAAAATTTGCAAACTTCGTCGTGCGAGTTCTACCGTTTCTCTACGGTAAGGAGGACACACCGAGTGGCACGAAATGTCCCTCGGAGAAGCTCTGCACGGAAGCGATTTGCTGCTTGCTGGGCGTCTCAAAAAAATTTCTTTACGGGAGGAAGAAAGTACCGAGCACAGGCAAACAGTCTGGGGAGGCGACCGAGATAGAGCTTTCCTGCATCGTTGACGATGCAGGTACCCGGTTACGTCAGCGTCGTCGTGTCGAAGATCGAGCAGGGTATCCCCCAATCGAAGAGCTACCAATCTGGGATTGTGGGTGTAGTGAGCCTTTTCTAAGCGCTCTGAATATTGTGTTCTTAACGAGCGAGTACCGAGAATTTTCTAAATGCTCAAAGGAGCTCAACCCGCGGCGAAAGGAGAACAGATTCCTTCTTAATGCAATGTTCTGCACGCTGTCCAACGCCCCGACAAAAGTGTGCGACGCTGCTCTCTCTGCGTTGTATACTGTGTCCAAAGGGCACATTTCGGATGTGCGTATGGCTCTCCAAGCCATGTGCTCCAACCCCAAAATTGAGCACAGGTCCTTTATTGAGGGAGGAGTGCAAGGCTACCGTACCCACAAGATGCACCCAATGAACAGGTACCCGGACCACGTCCGTGAACAAGTCGAAAATAATTTAGACATGGTTCTTCGTGCGGATCCGGCTGGAGGCCATGGTATGAACGTGTGCCGAGTATACTCCCCTGAGATCAACACCAAAGAGAAGCTACGAAAGCTGCTGAGGAGAATGTTAAACGAGGATGTCGAAGTCGACGAGCAGATGTCAGACTCAACTCTACAAAGAATGATAAATTGGTATCTTGAGGCAAGAAGGTGCCGCGTAGAATTCAATCAATCGGACCACAACGCTTGCCCACATTGCAAGACGTTGAAATACGCCATCCTGCAGTACCACTACGAGTCAAAACAGCTGGAGCATCAGCACCGTTCACAATTCGGTGACAGGAGCCAAGATTTTGACCAGAACACCCAGTTCGAGAGCGACCGTCTTCTTGCAGCACTTGCCACAAAAAAGTACCAAGAGCAAGAAGCACTAAGTACATTCGTAGTTCACAACCGGTGCGATGCGGATATACGAAAAACTGTGAAGTCTTGGGGCGACTTCTTTCGCTCCGTGGAAAATCGTTTTCGCGAGCTAAATTTTATTGGAAACGGGTGGAACTCTATGGCCAACCACGCCATGATCACCCACCAGGATGACATGACGAAGGTCGACTTGCCACATTTTACTGTGAACGTTTCAGCAGATATTACACGCTGGCGCTTCAACGTCATGCGCATGTCAACGCTGTCACGAAGGATTCTATTGTTTTCTCCCACGAACAGGGAACTGGACCAAAAAATGCTTCAGCTATGATTGAACTGGTGTTGATTGATCACCTCTCGCGGTGTAAGGGAGAGGCAATCAAAGTAATCGTTTCAGATAACGCAGCTGTGGGGAAAAATTGGTTAACAACGATCGCGTTGCCACAATATATGGTGGATCAAGGGCTGGCGGACATTGTAATAGTCGTTTTTCTGGAGAATAACCATGGGAAATGGTTAGCCGATATGTTGTTCGGACAATGGCAGACCAGGCGGAAAAAGTCCGTCCTTCTCAGCATTGATGACCTTCTGAGTGAGTTTGAATCGATAAACTCCCGAAGCGGGAACGTTAGGGGATTTGCAGTGAACCCACTTGGAAGCGTGGACTTTGCTGGTATTTTTAAGTCTTTGGGATATCAAACCAAACCCCCCAAGGATTTCGGTTTCACCAAACGAAATATTCACTTCGCTGCTGCATGCGGCCAGGTCGCCAAACAAAGACTGTCCTGTGACGTCTTGCATCTTCTCGGTCCGGCTCTTCCTGTTGCCGAAGGAATGGTCCGGATCTCTGCCTCCTCCCCTACTCGCCGACCGCAGGACGAACTTGCGTGCGAAGAGCGATTTTTCGACGTACCTGCGGCCAACTTGTCCGAATTAGCTGGTGACAGTCAGACCTCTGTTCCACTAAGTAATCCGGAGCATCCGCAAACTCAAAATGAATCAGTGGTACCTCCCTTGGTGGTCCCGCTGGACCAACCGTTCTCGCCAAGCGGACAGGGAGTTGTCTCGCAGAGGACTACGAAGCATGTTGGATTCAACGGACTGGCGTTCCGGGGCTCGAATGGATATCCAGAGTTGATGAACACATCATCGCGGCTTGTACAACAGGCTTGGCCGCACAGTATGCTTAATCCTGGTGCTGTTTCGGACTCCGGGGAGCCAATTTACGGCGTTGAGAGCGTAAAGTGCGCCCCGGAGACCTGGGTCATTAGAATACCAGTGAGCCATTTAGCAGCTGGGAATGACAGAAAGGCCCGTTACGCGCCTCGCAATTTACTAAATGCCCAATTTCAGAGAGGGCCTCGCGAATCCCAGACGTGGGTACCGACGTCGACATACGCGGAACCTCCGTTCCCGACCATCAGAGGAACCGCAGCATACGAAGCAATGAAGAACGTTGCTTTGAAATACGCTGATATAGGCAAGTCCGTTAATGTGTTGGACTTGTTACGCGAGGTCTACCTATGTATGGGCTCGAGGGATATATGTTCGGACCCTTGGTACCAGCGCTCGGTCACACTACCCAGCCACAACGCACTGCAAGTGTATAGAAATGCTCTCCAGATATTTAAGGAACGATGGCAAGGGGAACCTCGAGCTCCACGAACGATTAGACAGTTGTTTAAGCTGGATGAAAACGTAAGCAATCAGGTCACGGCGATACTGGAAGCGCGGGGTCAGGTCCCGACTAACAAGGCTTTGCGCACAGTGGTCTTATCTGAACTGTTTGAAAAGGACTCTAACACACCCGGGGGGCTGGACAGGTTCGTTCATTTGGTTGAACAGGACCAGGAGCGCTTTGCCAGAGACATGAAACTTTTCAGCGAGAAAATGGTCATATTCGACCGCGACCATAATTTGTGTGGACTCGAAGGGCTCTCCTGTGGCAAGTGAGGGCATAGAAAAGCAATAATTCCGCGCGAAACCCAGCGGATGTAATACAGAAGACGAATCTGTACACGTCATGAGCAGCGTGTTGCACGCGATGCATCGCCAGGTGTCGTGCATCATTTAGTACAGTGGTCCACTGCAGTTCATGGAAGGCTCGAAGCACGGGGAACGGCCCGCGCGTAGCTGCCGCGCAGTGCAAGAATGGGTAGGAAGTGT